AATCCAGTTCTGATCCTACCTCCTGATTCCTCTTCTCACATGGCTTTTTCTATCAGACACCCTCCACCTGGGAACACTGGACCCTTCTCACTGTCTGGCAAAGTCTGATCTCATCTCCTCCATAACATGAGAAAATGAAATCCCTTCCTTTTAAACATAAAAGCATTTCAAAAGGCAATTCAGATAGATACTAATGTTATTTTTTTCTGTCTTTCATAATAGCTATATTTCCTTCATTGTGCCAACAAAATCATAAGTACCACAAGGGAAAAAAATATTTCATAAACTTACTAGTTCCACAACACCTGGAAAAGTCTCAGACAAAGCAAAATATAAGTGGTCAAAAGTACATTCAGAATTAAATTATTTCATCAGTTCCTTTTCTGGTTTATCTGATATGCAATAAATTCACTTTATGAAATTTTGAAAGATCAAATAACACAGAGCAGAAAACATTCTTGCCTCTGTCAGTTAATTTACTAACTGAAAGTCAATAGTGCTATATGAGAAATAAACTAGCATGGTTAAATTTGTGAATGTGAAGAAAATGTGAACCATGGAATAAATTACACATTTGGTTTGTACGAAGGCTGTGAATAAGGTTCTTGTATTTGGCAAGAAGTAAGAAAGTAGTATATTGTTCAGAGAGGGAACAGAGTTAGACAAGTTTGAAAACGCAGTGAGAATAATTGAATGACCTTTTCTGTTAGAAAGTATACTACTGACACATACACATCAGTCAAATACAAGAAGGGGATTATAGATACATGTGCAAACACACCCACACACAATGTAAGTTGGGAAAGCAACCTTTTTAAAGATTTTTGTAAACTCAGCCCTCTTTGTATTTTTTTTTTAAATATTTGTTTGAAAGAAAGAGAGAGAAAGAGAGAAAATGAGATTGAGAGAGATGAGAGAGAATGAGCTTCTATATTCTCCAGTTCAGGCCCCTCAAATGGCTGAAATGGCAAGAGCTGGGCCTGACGAAAGCCAGGAGCCCAGAAATTCATCCTTGTCTTGCACATGGATGGGTAGGGGACCACATACTCAGGCCATCCTCCATAGCTTTCACAGAAACATTAGTAGGAAGCTGGATGAAAAGTGGAGCAAAACTTGAACTGAAACGCCTATTGGATTCTGGTGCCATAGGTAGCAACCCAACTTGCTGAGTCCCAACAGAGTCCCCTCTATTGCTTTTTTAACTTAATTCTTTTTTCTTGTTTCCACTCCTAGTGTTATTTCTCATACTGTGTCTCTATTTAGTCTGTATTTTCTTTCTATTTATTTCTTCTTAACAAAAACCCATACACACACAACTGCACACAAACATTATCAATTATTTCCTAAACTTTGTACTCAAAGTCAGAAACCAAGAGGTCCTTTATAGTGATACTGTTAATTTACTAATCTAACAATGGTTCTCAAATTTCAAACCACCAATCACTATAAGAAATTTTAGGGGCAAAAAATTTAAAAAAAAAAAGAATTTGTGCCAGTTATCAATTTGTTAACTTTGTCTATAAAACCAATCTTCCTTGTCTGTCTGCTGAAATGGATATGGGCATTTTAGATAGTTTATTCATCGATAGCATGTTAAGCTTTGCCATTACAGGGCACAGGCAGGAGATGCAGGAGAAAAAAATATGTCTCTCCTTCCTGGTTTTGGCAGGCTTGCTCAACAGGCTCCCCCAGCGCACGCAGTTTCTCTGCTTCCAGATTCCTGCAGAGTAGAAGGCTTCTCTTGTAGCCAGCTACAGCTGGCTTCTCCAGCCCTTGACTCCTGCAGAGCAAGTGATTTCTCCTGCATCCAGCCCTGGTAGGAAACACTAGTCCCCAACTGCCCAACTGTTGTATCACAAGCAACTTCTCCAGTGCCAGGATCCTGCAGAACCAGGTGCTGTGTCCAAGCATGCAAGCCACAGCATCAGTAAGTGGCACTCATTCTCTAGCACTCATTGCAGGTAATTTTGTAGCACATGTACTCACTTTCCTCTCCTCTAAACCCAGAGAGCTTTCCAGAATGTTGCAGAAGCTAAATTTCCAGCAACTTTGCTTCATCATGACATCATGGTAACTCCTCTGCCATCAAGTAACTATAGTCAAGCCGTCTCCTACAAAGTATAAACCTCACTCTAAGTAAAGGAATATGGAGGCTAGAGAGAGGCTTTTTGGTGGTCTCTCTCTCTCTCCTCCCGCCCACATAAATCAAGATTACTTATACATGCAATTCCTGTTTTCTTAGTATTTTTCTTACTAGCCAATACCTCATTACATGCTTTGTTACACTTCATAATTCTTTATATTAAACTTTCCTATTCAAATTACTAGATAGTTTCCATATCCTGAATGGTGTTGACCAACACATATGTCCTCATATGCATTAAACTAATAGCTAAAGTTTCTTATTAGATATTTAAGTAATTATAAAAGATGAATTTTCTGATATTTTATATACTGTACAGATGCTTTGAACATATTTCTGTCAAATTATGTAGAAAATCTAATGACAAAAAAAAAGAAAATCTAATGAATGGAAAAGTCCACCATATAAATAATTTGCAAAACCAAGTCTCAATGTCAAATCAAGTAACCAAATCAAAATTATTTTTGTGCCAGAAAAAATCTTCATATTTTTCATTCAAACAAATATGTTGGTGCATGTTCTCATAGCAATCCTCTCACTTAAGTAGGCTGCAGAAAATGAATGGACAGAAAAGGGATGGAAAGACAGAGAAGCAGAAAGAAAGGTGGATGGAATGGTGCCAAGAACCTTGCCAAGGATGAATTTCTTTTCCATTATTATATTTTATTTGGAAAGTGGAGGAGAAAGAAAGAGATCTCCCATCCACTGTTTCACTTCCCACTGGAACTAGATCAGCTCAAAATCTGGAGTAGGAAAATCAACCCAGCACTCCCAAATGGATGGAAGCAACCCCATCATTAAGCCATCACCACTAACTAAGCACCAGTAAGAAACTGGATTTCAGAGCAGCACCAACTTGAACCTAGATATTTCAACACGAGATTTAGGCATTCCAAGTTTAACTATCCCAAATACCCACTCCTCACTATTTTAAATCATCTTTTCCCCTTATTTTTCTGAGTAGCATTCCTCAGCTTGGTTTTTTGCCCAAGAATGCAGACACTATGCCATGGGACATTAAGTCATAGTAAAATTTGACACAACTGAAAGATCTGACATTTTACATGACATGGGAGAAAGGCAACTATGATAGAGAAGATGGAAAGGAAGAAGTGGTACATCACAGACTCTCTCAGGTATATCAGTTTTAGGAAAATACACATAGAAACACCAAGGATCAAAAAATTGATTCCCTATCCCAATACTGTGGTCCCTGGGAAGTTTCTATGGATACCCAAGGCATACATTCTTCAAAACAAAGACAGCTGTACTAAGCCAATGAACTACTGCATTCTCTAATGGACGATACAGTTAGGGTGTGCTTTTAAAACCAAGAAGAGTAAACCAAGACAAAAAGCCAAGTGAGGAGTAACAACGCTTAAAGATAGAAGACAATATATTAAGTCATCTCTGTTAAACCTTTTAAAAATATAAGCTAAAAGAGCTACAAGAATGCTAGAGAAAATAGAGTAGTGTCATTTCACATGTGAAATTTGATTCCTACAGTACCTACGTTAGGATTTGTGACTCAAAATATCACATGGATTAAATCCCTCATTTACAGTGGCTCTGTTTCTTATTTAGAACAGTAACCTTTCCTTAGATTTTGGACTATAGTGCATCACATGAGAAGAACACAAAAGGCAAAGACAATGTAGCAAATATTTACCATTTGGGATATTAACAAGCTTAACAGACTCAGCAACCATCTAGGGTGTTACATCAACTACTATGACAAAAACCAAAGGTGCTGAAACATAAGGATGTGTGTTTTCTGAGAGGAAATGGTTGAGAATTTAAGGAGTTGGTTTTCTAAAATAGAGAATAAATACCTAAGAAGTCAGAACAGATTCTCAACCACCAACATTAATGTGCATAAAGTTTCTCCAATTTAAGAAAAGTTTTAAAATCTTGAAAACGTTTTCAAGGAAACTACTGTTTCCTGTTACTTTTGGAAAAACTGCAAATGTTAGTATTTTAAAGGAGAAACCTTTACAAAGAGATATAAAGTATGTTTTACATGTTACGAGTATCAGATTTTTGTTTATTCATTTCCCCTAAGAAATTTTGCAACTCTGTTTTGGATAAGTGACATTTACTCTCAATTAAGGTTTCTTTTTATTTCTTCAAACCAACCATCCTGTGGGAAGGAAGGGGCTTCTAGGATTTTCTCTACCTAGATAAATAAATGTTGGCAAAGTTTATTCTTTGCTGAATAAAATCTATAATTTCCAGAATATACTGTCTGAATTTAGTATTTGTCAAAAAGTCTATGTGTGGTAAACTGTCGGGATTTTTTTAAATGAAGATTTTAGACCAATGCAGAAACTGTTAAATTCACAATACATAGTTATTCTATCTATGCATAAGCATCTTGAATATCATCAATGTTATTTTCAATATAGGTATTTGCCCTCCCCGGAGAAGAATGGATAATCTAGTTGGTAGATATTATTACATCTGAGGAGTTTACATGAAGAAATTTCATAATGATCCAATAAATAAATTTAGGCTCATGCCCTGCAGTTAGAAAATCAATAAACACATAAACACTTCCATTTTTGCCAATCTTTCATATCATAACTCTGTTAAGCACCAGGGTTACTGAGATGAACAAGTTAATGTTGGGTACTTTAATATCCAAACAGGGAGAAATCAGCCAGTCCATCACACTGGTAATTAACAATGAATGTCAATAATTGTGGGTTTTTTTTGGGGGGGGGGGGGAGTGAAGGCAAAAAGAAAAAAATAGAGAGGCAAGAAAACTGAGTAATGGAAAGATTGTGCGGTTAACAAGCACGTGCAGTTTGTTGCCATCTGTGATATATTCCAATCTGCAGGTTTTCCACATACTTACTTGAACAATGGAGTTCCACAAACAACACATTTGTATATTCCAGGATCTTTGTGATGTGTGTATTCTCCTTCAAAGGCACTAATAAGTAATAAGCAGATTAAGAAAATTCAAGTTAGGATTTACTCTTACAAAACATACTTGCTTAAAATATATTTCTCTAATAAATCTTTAGAGAACTTTTTTTTTGTCCTGAAGTGAGAACAGACCAAACATATGGCAATCTGAACATTACTAACATATTTCAAATCTATATAATAAAATGTATATAAAACTAAATAGCGCAGGTTAGATTTTTTTAAAAAATGCCATGAAGTTATGTAATGCTAAGAAGGAAAAAAAATCCTATTTCTTAAGAAAAAAAAAAAGTCCATAGTTTAGATTCATAGAAAGAGCACTATTACATAAGATTTCTGCTACCCTGCAGGATCCAAGAGTGTATCACAAAGTGCAGAAGGGTCCAAGACTTCAAGTGGAAGGAGCCTTATTTTTTGGTTTGAAAAGGAATATTGCAGCTTTAAGGGAATATTTTTCTAAGTTAACAATCTTGAAGGCTAGGAGGTCATTCAGCTAATACAAATCAGCTGTGCTCGCCCAACAAAAAGTCTATGTGCTCTGCAGCTTGTTTTTATTATCCTTTCACCCTCTTTATGAGGTCCAATTTTTTTATAAACAGAATTTTTAAGAATGACCTAATCTCTGGTTGTTTGTGTGCATTAAATCATCCTGCTAGTCATGTACACAACAGGACGGTAGAAGTCCTCCTGAGCCAAGGCCGAAGACTGCTGCAGGCTCACCGCACGGCAAGAGTGAATTCTGTCAGAGATCCAACCTTTGGTAAATTCAGTCAAAGGCGGGAAAAGTCACAGTGAGACAGTGCTGGCCATTAACAGGGCTCCCACGTGTGGTGAAGGGCTCTTCCAGTTCATGAATGAAAACAACAAGTTACATCATTAATACATTCGGATCAGAGTTAAGTTATGGCCTTATGCCAAGCACCATGGTATAAACTAGACAACAAAATCGTCGGACCTTGGCAAGTTACCTTTACGCTGGAATCAGCTGAGAGAGGCTTTATGCACTAAAACACAGTCTTGGAAGCGAACAAACTCTTTTTTTAAGACTTAGGGCAAACTTCCAAGGACCAAAGCCATGTGAGGGCAGTTATTGAAAATTTTTGACATTCCAACCACAAATGAGCCAATAAATACTTTCTCCACATGTGCTTCAAAAAGAATTGGAGTGGGATAGAAAGGAACTAAATTATGCTACCTTCTTTTTGCAGCCAAGACGTCTATACTTACAATGGCCACCTTCAAAATCTCAGCATCCTGGCAACACTCCATGTCCCTCATGGTTTTGCTTACTGTGATGTCTTCCCCAAAAATGTACCTAAATCGCTATTACTTCCACACATTTTGTACTAAACTAAAAACAGGCCCTTGACAAAAGTACTGTGACTTTCCATAAGATAGTGTTCATTAAATAGAGGAAAAGAACAAAATAAAGCTTGGTCTTAACCTAAACAATACCATTTTCAAGGATATTAATTTGTACAGTTCAGCCATCAAGCTAGAAATCTTTAAGTTAATTGGCAAGGGAGAGAATTTGAAGAGAAGGAATGAAGAAAACGAGCTTTCACTTAATGACTTTTTATTACAGCTCACCTTACCTTTCAGTCCCTTTCTCCTGAGTGACATGGTATTGCAGGGGTGTTAGCCGCTTCCTCAGTTCCTGCTGGGAAAAGACCACCTTACAGTTCTTTTTATCCCTACATGACCCTGGAAAGAAAGAGGATATGGGAGAAGGAGGCTTTTTAGCTTGAATCCTAAATAATTGCTTTGGCTGTCCGCCACAGCACAGCTTCTGCAGTCACTTGTCAATGACCAGAACAGTCCCTAATGCACTAGAAAAGCTTACCTGAACTGCATCTGATTATTTCTCTAACTTCAAAAAAATGTTTCTTGAAATCCAACTGATTCCACTGAAGTAGTGGCAATGTGCTATAGCCAAGGCTTCCTGTATGTGACACTAAAAATTCCCTGAACAGTCCCATGACAGTAGTACAATGTTTTTTTGTCTTCCAATAGCCTGAGACTTTCTTTCCAAATGAACATGAAAACATAACCCTACTGACAAATATGTATATCATGCAGATAAGATGATGGGCATATTAAGTTAAATCATAGCTCTTCAATCAAAAAAAAATGATATAACTTGTAGGATAACTTGAAGCGATCATTCAATGGAAATTGAATGATAGCTGATTTATCCATGTCCTAATGATTGTTCTTGGAGTCCCAAAGATACGTTTTCCTGCAGTTTGAAATGCTATCTGTGATCCCCTCTGATGTTTCAAATAGTTTGTAGTGTTCTTAAAAATAAACGTCTCTTGAAAGGCTATAACTATGTTAAACAGTAACACAAAAACCTTCAGTGAACTGTAGGACAACCATTTACATGAGCGCAGATTCCCAAGGAAAGAACAGAAAAACAAGCAGGGAGAAAAACAAAGAAAGGGGGAAAAGAAAATAGGATTTTGTTTCTAGCCCTACATGATCCTTTTGGAAAGCCCATCTAGAAAAACTTCACTGATCCAATGTGATTTTAATAATGATGGCAGCTTTTAACTATAACCTATACAGACTGCAGTAAAGCACTCAGATAACACCTGTTTATATGTAATATTTTATTTTACATGCACAAATGATTGAGAAGAAATATAACTCCAGGACAGGGCAACCATTACTCACTGCAGTAAAATGACTTTTCTTTGCCATCCATCACAGCGAAAAGGAAGCTTGCAGAAGGTCCTACATTTTTATTTTACTTAAAGAAAGCATGCTAGGTTCCTGAATATTAAATTCAAATTCTTTTAAAATATACAGAAATATGATTGAGGAGTGGAAAGATTTTCTACTTCTTTTACGTTGCAAGTTCCTAATGTCACAGTACATGGGATCATTGAAATTAAGCCAAGGGAAGAAATTAACTAACCAGTTACCCTGATTGTGGGGCTGAAAAAGGATATCTACTTCCAGAATCAAGGCCCCCAAGGTGGAGTGGTTGATTCTCTACAAGAAATTAGGGAGGCAGGAAAAGAGCAGAGCAGAGCCAAACAGAAAGGTATGTCTTGGAGTCAACTTGGGGGCTCTCCTCCAGCACCTCAGCTGGCCTTCCATCAGCCCTCGGTCGTTTCTTTGGCCTGCAGAGACCCACAGGACAGCTGGCAGATCACACACAGCATGCTGGCTCCTCATCTCACTGGTCGCCATATCATACTCAAGCTTTACCCAAATATCTACCACCTACATTTTACTATTATCTAAGAGGCAGACACAAATGTTTCCCCCAAGAAATGTTTATCCTGTCAGAATAAGCCTTTCAACAGCTGGAATGTAGAATGGCTCTCTCTTAAATAATCAGTTGTCTATAGTAGGTGAGATTCTGCTCAGTTCCCTACAGACTCCTTAAAAGTTATCATGCTCTTTATTATTTATTTGTTGGAAGGATTCTGTTAATTTTGTCAAAAAAAAATCAATCACTGCACATTTAACATGATAACATATCATAGTTAAAATTATCCCTTCAAATGGCATAGGTAATTAAAATCTGTGCAATTAAAATTAAACTATTCTATTCAAAATATTTTAGTTAATATACATTCATTCATACAAAAAGACCAATTGTGTTCCCAAAGTTGAGAGAACTAAGCTACCCATCTGTATGTCATTTAGTACAAGAGAAGCAACTGCAGGTTTAAATTACATGGTATTGGATTGCAATTTCCTAACATTGGATGCTTTTCTGCTTTTTTACCTTGAGTCATTTACTAAGGAGTGTTCATAAAAAGTAGCTTAAAGCACAGATGCTTGCAAATCGTTTAGGCAAAGATGTTTCTCTCTTTTTCATTCTCCCTCTCTTAAAACTCTCTTTTCTGAAGAAAAAGAATAAAACTGTTGGTCAGTATTGATGAACCATGTCAAGTATTTGTACAAGGAAAAGGTAAAATTGAAAACATCTGATTGAAGTAAATAATACAAACATAAAAGCTTTACTGGTGAATGAAGGGTATTGAAGAGACTTTATTTCATAGATCAGAAATTACTTTTGATCTAAACATTCTTAAAAACAGATTGTTTTCCACTATGAACCATCTCATTAACTGTGCTACAGAGACCTCATCTGAATGGCAAGCTTTGAAAGGGCGCTGCTGTACTCTTTTGTTAGGCTCCGTCTTATTGGAAGTGAGTAAAGATTTCATTCCAGCTTTCTTTGTTTGTCTTTCAAGAACCACTAAAGCTGTATTCACACAAATTGTGTAGGAATGTGCCCTGTGTCATAGCCTACAAATTATTTGGTTTTGGTGCACTTACAGGTCATCTTCCAAATTAGCAAAATTCTCCTACATCCTGGCTTTTCAACCTTAAATATAAATATTGTTTCCTAACTGTAAGTGAGGTTTGTTCCTAAAGAAATGCAAGTGATTATTTAAAGTTGTCAAACTTTGTACGTTTTTATTCTTTTGGTCATATTATGTTCCCAAAATCATTAGGCTTTTAAAGTATACCTAATAGCAAATGAAGAATGTGTACACTAGAAACAATTACTGTGATTTTACATGAAACAACTCAATGAGAAGTTGAGACGGATTTTAATAAATGCCTTGGCATACAGTTTAATAATAACATCCTTCCTGGACAATTGAAAGTATTGTATTACATTTGCTTTTCTGGTATTGCAACCAAAAATTGGCACATATAAACACAGAAAAGCTTTTGTCTCTGATTTTTCTTTGCCCTATCAGACTTAACTTTTCTAAACTCATATGGTACCACTGCTAATTTTGAAGATATCATTTCATTTGAAATTCTAGAGTAATTCATTGGATGGTTTCCTTTTACTATCTTCATTTAGGTACTATAATTTTCTTATTACATAGGATAATTTAACATTAGTATTATATGACATCTGTTCAATGACCTCTAAATTGGCTTATAAGTCTGTTAGGGAATGATTTCTCTCTTTATTTAAACGTTTAAGAGTGTACTTTGAAGACACAAGGAAGTGTGTGTATACACACAGGCAATATAAGTATATTTGAAGAGGTATTTTTACCCATTTGGTATCTAATCTAACTCCATTCCCTATGGAGTTACTGAACTACTCTTGAGCTCAATCCAAGGGTATTTATTTTCTAAAAACATGCCCAGAATCTTCTTTTTATATCAAGGCTTACTTTATTTTGTTTCCTCCAGGCCAAGGTTGTCATGAAGCTCCACGGTGACGGTCTTATCAAACTCCATGCAAAGTGCTTCACTTTTTGACACTGCCTTCTTGCCAGCCACGTGACAGTGGGCAGATCACTTCCTCTGTGTGCTGCCTCCCTCATAAATCTACTATACTACACAGACCATGGAAATCAGCACCTACCAAACACTGAATAAACAGCACCCTGGTCAGGAAGTTCAACGTGCTGTAATATTTGTTGGTAATTATTTCAGGGAACTAATATTTTAGAACATTATTTTTCTTACAAACTATCTTCTAAAATAATGAAAACAGTGGTAGAAGAAAGTAAAACTGAGTCCTACTCTGTTCCAGACACATTTCTAGGCAGTAAATCACACATTACTCCTCTCAGTAATGCTGTAATGCCCATTTTACAGACATAAACACTGAGGCTGAGCAGTCACAATCTAACTTAGTAGAGACAAATGGCAAATAGGACTACTGACTTAAATCCAAGATGTCTCACAATAAAGCCTATATTCGTGTTTTCTGTCATTAAAATTATAATATTCTTTCTTTTCAAATTACTCAATAGCTTCCAGCTTGAAAGTGATCATTAACAATGTAAAACAATAAGGGTGATAAGTCATAAACACTGAGGAAGATTCAGAAAAGAAAATGTATTTCTTGTAGCCAATGCTGGTTTTCCTTGTATTCATTCCTTCAACAGAAGCCCAGGAACAAAATTCATATGGAATCCTCACCATGTCTATAAAATGTTGAAAGCTTAACATCCTGGTAAACAAATCAGATCTGCTACCTAAAATCTCAGAGTACTTTTAAGCCATAAATTTTATATTTCAGTGTGAAAAATCAAAACAAAACAAAACTTAAAGATCCTGTAACTTCAGTTTCAGCTCTTGCACCAGAAAAAGCAAAACTATTTTTTCCCAAGGTAGTAAATAAATAAGACATAAGAATAGCCTCCTGTTTTACTGAGTTACTAACTCCAAACAGTTAAGTTCATGCTGAAATATTTTGTCGTTATAAAGATGGTATAGTTTAATTTTCATAATAAATTTTAATTTTGAGTTAGTAGTCTGTAATATTGGGGAAAAGAGAAATTTTATTCCAGGCATAGAATTAGAATTTCTGAATGAATGATTGCCCACTAAAGCTAAGCCTAGTCCAATTTTTAGCAAAAAAAAAAAAAAATGTAAAATGCATACCATAAAACATTACTTGGTGTTTGCACTCGAGTTGATAAAGTTTTTTTATAAAAAAAAAACTACACAGCACAGAGAAAAGAAAAGCACTATGGTTTACTAATGTCCCAATTATTCTCTCAAAGTAGACAGATGGAATAAAACTGTGCTAAAACGAACAACTAAAAATATCAAGACACTTTGCTTCCCATCCGCTGGTTTCCACAGAACTAGAGCTGCTGGGTTTACTTTGAAGACCACCTGTCCAACATTCTTGACATCACAAATGTTGAATAGAGTATCAGTTTTACATTAAGTAAAATATACTCATTTGAGAATTATCTGTTGGGAAACTATTACATATTGCTGTTATTCAAAGTACTTGAGTTGTGCCAGAAAAAATAAATAAATAAACAGCCTTCTTTCATATATCTCCTATTCCATCAGGTATAGAATAAGACAGATAAAACATAGTGAAAATAAGTAAGTAAATTATAAAACTTCTTAGAAGGTGGTAAGGATATAAAAAGGAAAAAAGTCAAACTGGAGCAGGACAACAAAGATTGGTAGTCACTGGCAGAAGTGTTATAACCGCACATAGAACCATCAGGGTATGCCTCACTAAAACTGTTACAGCAGAGCAGTCTTGAGGTTGCCTGTGCTGGTCTATACCTGGAGGAAGAACTGCCTGAACACGGACAGGATATGACCAATGCCAGAGACGGTATCACTAAGATGCCCATACACCCACCAATGGTGGGAACAGAGGTAACTTCGAAGCAAATTCTACTTAATGGCGAAGATCGTGCTTTTAAACAAGGATATTTACAATTATATATCTTTTAAAAAGACATTGGCTAGCACTTCCTTGCGTACAGAAAAATGTGTAGTGACTACCTCAGAGAGTACTTGTGTAGCTGAACTTGGAATATATATAATCGGAGAGCAGGCTCTGTTAATTTGCTCCATCTACTTCACCTCACCCCAGGTAACCAGCTAGACCACAGCTATCATTCTCAACCTGGAGTCATGTGTAAAACGATACACAATAGATGGCTTTGGCGATGAATTTTGTATAAGCTTAGAAACAAAACTCTTTGGCAGATAACACTCTTACAATCATGAAAGAAATGACATGGGACATTCAAAATTAAGGAAGTATAAAATTAATATCTCGGCTCAGTTTCCACTTTTGAAAACACCTTAATTTTTAAACTTACATTCATTTTAATCTCATGTGTTCCATGTCCTAAATAAATATAGCAAAGAAATCTGCAAGTCTTAGGAGTCAGACATCAAGCAAAAATTTCTTTTTAAATAAGAATTTCCTTTTCCTTCTGTGAGGAAAAAAAAACTGTCATAAAAACAGATATTTGTAGAGTTCTAATTAACATCACTGGACATTCTAAGCATGTCAAGAAAACATATCATTCAAAATTTCTCGAATTAATACAATGTGTTTCAGTGCTTCATACTTGAATGGTAAAATTAATCTTCTGGTTTCTATATTGAATGCATGAGCATAGGAAACTTAGAAGGCATTTCTACCATGGTTTTTTTTTTCTTTGCCTTTTTTTTTGCAGTTCTATACACACTGCTAAATTCACTAACAGCACCCTCACTACTAATATATTTACTATGCAATGTATTACATAGTATTGTGCCATTTTTCTCAAGTATCTTCAATTACTTCTGCTTTATTTCCCAAATCATGAATCCTCTGACTGAAACTGTTGGCTCTAATATTAATTCATGCTCTAACTATTCATTAAATATTCAGAATGCATCAAATCTGTGACAGCACTGGAAAGGTAAAGAACAAGACATCCTGGAGTAGGAATAAGGAACTTAACATAAAGTACAGTCTTAGGATAAAGGTGTTTGCGAAGTTCCATGTAAAGAGTTCATCAAAAGAACACTAACGCTTAGGGCTGGCACAATGGCTCAACCAGCTAACGTTCCACCTGCTCGGTTCTGGTTTGTATCCTGGTTACTTCACTGACCATCCAGCTCCCTGCTGTGGCTTGGGAAAGCAGTGGAGAATGGCCCAAAGCCTTGGGACCCTGTAGCCACGTGGGAGACGTGGAAGAAGCTCCTGGCTCCTGGCTTTGGATTGGCTGTGTTCCGCCATTGCAGCCAACTGGGAAGCAAACCAGCAGATGGAAGGAAGATCTTTCTCTGTCTCCACTTCTCTCTGCAAATCTGCCCTTCAATTACAAATGGATGAATTAAAAAAAAAAAAAAGAAAAGAAAACCTCATTCTTAAACATTTCCCATCCAGACTAACCATGTCCAGTTATAATTTTTATGTTTAAAAAAAAATTGAATGGTTTTTAGAGAAAAAAATCTTTAGGATCAGTGTGCCAGAGGAGATGCTATGGAGAGAGAACTCTACCTGAATAAGTTTAACATAATCAAACATGGACTAGTCAGGGTGTAAGAGTTCCACCCTGATGAAAGGTATGCAAAGAATTTTTCACATAGATTTATCAATTTAACTAAACCAAAACAGAATAAAATGTAGATTCAGATATGAAGAAAAAATTGAGGAGGTGACAAATTAGCTAGTTTTAAACTAAGGGAGGAAATGTATAAATGAATGGAAGTAACTGTGTCACAACATCCAAAGCTTGTTAACATAATTTAAATTCCAGTCTTAATAGTAAAATGTCACTTGTGAAGCTGCATGATTGTCTTGGGAGGGAACAATGGAGAAATTTACCACTACATTAATCTTGATCAAACATTCATTAATAATTTACCTGAAGGACCACAAAGAAATAAAAGGAACTTTATCAACTTGAAAAACGTAATACAATACTGAAAGCAATAATTTTCCTTGTTAATGTGGACCATAAAGCCTATAGTTTAGGGAAATATTTAAAACATGTCTTAATCCAGAAAGTATTTTCTTCCTTGCAAAGCACATGAATAAGAGAATTTTTAAAGGCACTGCCATCATCAAGTGACAATAGTGAAAAAGAAAGTCACTTAACTTCAATTTTATCTGATTGCATGTGAAAAGTCTGACAAAGTTGAAGTTCCCTGTTTTCAATTTTTTTTTCCAGTATGGGTCTTCTCCAGAACATCACAGCCCATACAGAAAAAAAAAAAATTAAAAACAGACAGGCTCATTTCCATTCTACATTTCACATGCAATCAAAAAGATTTGGGGAAGGGAAAAAAAAAAAGGCTCTCTTAGCTATCCTCCCTCTTGCTTTGAGGGAGCACAGACCTGAGCAGGAACCACCCACAACAAGCAAAGAGGAGCAGTCCTTTAGATAAGCAATCAGAATTTTATTTCCTTTGCATGCAACACTGAATATCTTATTAGAAAATAAATAAATCTTATCTTCTTTAAAAATTCCATAGCAAATGGCCAAAATTACTGCCCACACAAATTTCAAATTAGGTTAATTAAGCACAATGGAAACAGAAGTCCATAAACTTCAAATCTGAATCTATTCATTCAAAAAATTCTAAGACTCTGAAGGGAAGCAAAGAAAAAAAAAGTTACAATCTTGTTTTCCCGCCCAGACAACCTAAGAAAGGTGTAAGACTTCCTTAACAGTGTCCCTATATGTTTTGTTGGTTCTGTTGACATCCCAGCTCCTAGCTATGTACCTGGGCAAGAGGAAGGACTAGAAACTATATGTATTTTAAGACTGTTTCAAACCTCTGCTTTAATTGTTATTTAAATGTTCTTCCTAAAAAAGCTGCTTCCTAATTGATACTTTGGTTATGTTTCTTAGAACTTAGTTTAAAAATTGCAATAACATCTGCCAAATAAATCTGTAAGATTTGAAAAGTGAATGATAGCAATTTGAAAAATCGTTTCTTTCATGACTACTTTTAATTCTATATATTGCTCTGCTAGAGCTCCATGTTCAAATCTTTTATGAGTAATGGTCCATTAATTCTCTGGATTAAAAAACTGTTAAGATGACCTAACCCATAATTGCATAAAAACGATTCTATGAAATGCTAGCTTTGAATAAAATATTAGCAGGTTGTTCTTGTTGGGAAATAAGAGAACATTGCACAGTCAAATCAGATAAGGAAAATTTAGAGCTACATGGGTTTCTTGATGATGCCCTTCTTGACAACTTTCCTGAACTGCTGTGTATTATTTAACAAGTAACGGTTTGAGACAACACAATCTTACCCTTCTGTATTAGAAGACAAAAAAAAAGAAATCTTTTCTAAATTATGATACATTCTTATCACAATGTTTTAAGGGACTATGTGGTATGTGTCTGTGCTTCAGAAGAAAAGGGCTCCCAATGAAATTTTTAAACATAGCTCCAAAATATAATACTAGGCTTTCTACCTTCGCCTGTGCTTACCATGTCATGATACATTTAAATGTCACAAAGTCAAACTTGAAACCTACACTAATGGCTTAAACTATTGTGATACTATGTGGGGAAAATGGCAGGAGGGAAAAATGAGCAGAGAGAAAGAGGAGAGGATGAGGCTATATCGCTGCAGCTACGAAAACATGAAAAAGAAAACAATAATGATTTTTAAAAGTGTATCATGATGGTGAAATAAAACAGTGTTTATCTCAGAATTTATGAAATATGGTAGTATACAATTTTCAATTTGATGCTGAGATTTATTTTACATGGTAATTAGTAGTTAGTGTCCCTCAAATTACAACTTGAGAAATAATGAACTTCTAGTCTAAAACCTTCAAGAGGAAATCCAAACCCAAAGAAGTTGCTTGACGTGGTCATACATTTGGTTTGTAGGAGGCAGGTTGTCTATTGCTTTTCTCCTCTGCTCACTCATTGTATTTGTCCAAGTCATGCACTGTTGTCCTTTTAACATGCCCATCTATCTTTAAAGCATGTGCTGCCCACAATGGATTACCACTCACATCGCAACGTTTAGCATCTCCCAGTAACTATATCCACACCTCCCTTGGGGATCCTGCAAAACAAATGTGATTCCAAGAAGCCAATCACCCTTTTTGGGTAAAAAGAAGCATAAGTCTTCTCACTTCCTCGCCTTACCTCCACAGTAAAACAAGGGAGGACATGTTGATAAAGAATCATAAAACCGTCAAGTATAAACAACCTTCACTCTATAGAAAATAAAATTTAAAATGGCAGTCTTCCTCATCAAGGCATTATTCTGACGCATAAGGTACTCTGCTTATTCAGATCCGTCCATTCATTAAGCAGCTATTTATTGAACTCCCACAATGCAACAGACCCAATTACTGCTGCTGGGATGAAACAGAGAACCCAACGCAAAAATCTCTGCCTTTCTGAGTTTACTTTGTAGTAGAAACAAAATCTGCCTGATCAAGCCATCACCTTTCCCAGATTCTTGTAGTGTCCTCTTTTTGTTTTTGTTTTGTTTTGGCTTTTTTCTCCACTATGCCAAGGGATTAAAGCTGCACACCCCAAAAGGTTAAGATAATATAAGCTAATGCAACACCAGAGTGTCAAACCTAACTGCAAAAGAGTTCACAGGAATGTTTTATCATTCCTACTTTACAGATGAAGAGCAGAAATGAAGGGAACAAAACAAAGATTCCGGTAGTCACAAAGCATGCTGAGAGCAGAAGCGCAGCAGCAGATACAGATCAAGGTAAAATCTGTTCCTTCAGCGATATCAGCACGATGGCAAGCCCTGAAACCCCTGGCATGTTATACAGAATGTGTGCAGAAAGTATTAAAATGATAATCAAATAGAATACAATATAAATGGCTGTACAGTTACGATCCAACATATAATAAATACAATAAAACAAAATCTTACTTAAAAAACAAGTTACAGATTTGGGTTTTTTTTTTTTTGCTTGTTTAAAAATCAGAAGACTCTAATGAGTTTTAATATTTCACTCATAATGTGAATTATGTGGCTTACTATAATAAATATAGCCAGAGTTGAAGGAAATTCTTATCATAGGTTACTGAGTAATTTTAAATCCTACAAACATATTCCATTTATTAACCAAATAACACATGGCTTCATCATTTCATGGCATTTTTATCACACAAATTTCCAAATGGATACAAGTGCAAATTAGATATTTTTAAAAATCAAAAAATACAGTACTTAAATAACTGAAATGGGGATTTAAGAATTTCAGCTAACTAGCGGATTCAAAATGCAAAAGCACAAAAAGTAGTAACAGATGATTAGCCAGTGCATTTCAACTACGTGCATTCTGAAGAATCTAAAATTAAAATGTAAGTCTTCAAACCAAATGTTTAGGTTGAGTCTGCACACTAAGAAAGACTGATAAGAGCAATCCATCAAGCATCTATCCTCAAGTTATGAACGTTTTGTGAACTGTCATTCAGGCTCATTCCTTCACAAGCCTTGTGTTTGCTGCGAACGATCCAGTAGACAACATCACTGTGAACATGGTTAGACAAATAAATATCTGATTCCATTCTCATTTCCCAAACCCCACTTCTCAAGATATTCTAACCCTGTGCAAATATCACTTCCTTTCAGAACCTGTAATATATTTTAAATGTTTTACAATCATTGGTATTTAAATCTTAATTTTCCTTGAGAAATTAATTTTTTTTGTTTTTCCCACATTAATGCTCTTGCTACTAGATGCATTTATGCACAATATGATTTAATCCATGTTTAACAAAAAACAGACAAAACCCACATTTAACAAACATATGCCCAACATCTTATTCATACATATGTATTATTTTATAATAATTTAACCTTGACTAATATAACAATGTGCAAATCATTTTTAAAATTCACCTGATAAGGTGCTACATAGCAATTTCTCAACATTAACAAAAATGCTATTATATCATAGAACTACTAAAATACATTAGAAAAAATATGGGACCATTATAGTACTCATTAATCAACATTTAAAGTATACTTTCTCTTCGTTTCTTAAAATATTTTCATTCATGCAGAAAACGATTTATGCTTAACAGTCAACATGTTAAACTACTAACATTTTCAAGATTCTATAAAAATTCAAAACAAAGCAAAACAAAATGTGAAA